GTGTTCCCAGTATGCCCGGGCTCTCGAGTTGCCGTTTTGCCGCGACCAGAGCCCGGATTTCATTCTGCCCCTAGCTATTCATGCAGATGCGTGGTCAAAGCTTCCCGGGGTATCAGAATGGGTGCTGAACACTATAAAGAGAGGCTATTCGCTACAATTCGCTCGACGCCCACGCCGCTATACGGCGCGCGTCGAAACTACGGTGAAAAACGAAGTGTCTCATCTACTTCGTGCCGAGATAGCGAAACTACTGAGCAAGGGGCTATAGAACCTTTATCTCAGGCTCAGAGCGAAGGGGGCCTATACAGCTGATATTTTCTGGTACCGAAAAAGGATGGGGGTCTCAGACCCATTTTAGATCTGCGACAGCTGAACAGAGCGCTTGTCAAACGCCAGTTCAGAATGCTTACGACCAGGAAAATCCTTGCGCAAGTGCGCCACGGGGACTGGTTTATGTCAATAGATCTGAAAGACGCCTATTTCCAGATACAAATAGCGTCCCATCACAGGCGATTTTTGAGATTCGCCTTCGAGGGCCAGGCATATCAATACACAGTCCTGCCGTTCGGCCTGTCCCTAGCACCTCGTACATTTACGAAGTGCATGGACGCGGCGCTCGCACCCCTGAGACTTCAGGGCATGCGAGTCCTGAACTACTTGGACGATTGGCTGATTCTAGCTCGATCACGATCGGAGCTCATAGAACACAGGGCCGCATTACTCGAGCACCTAGAGAAGCTGGGCCTCACAGTCAATTGGGCGAAGAGCTCACTGTCCCCCAGTCGGAAAATTTCCTTTCTGGGAACCGTGTTGGACTCGCTGTCCATGACAGCACGCCTGTCACCAGAGCGCGTACTGAGTATTCAGCGCGGCGTGAAATCCTTCCGCCACGGCGCGATAGTTCCGCTCAAAAGGTTTCAGAAAGTGCTGGGGCTGATGGCCTCAGCAGCCTCTGTACTCCAGTTAGGCTGGCTCCGCATGCGCCCACTGCAGATGTGGCTGAAAGCGCGGGTTCCACCCAGGGCATGGACAGCGGGTCTGTTTCGCCTCAGGGTCGACCTCCAGTGCGTTTCAGCTCTGGAACCTTAGAAAGTGACCGACTGGTATCAGTCAGGTGTGAGTCTGGGGACCGCTTCGAGTGTGAAGGTGGTGTCTACGGACGCCTCCACCTCGGGGTGGGGAGCGCTGCTCGAGGGCAGACCGCTAGCTGGCCTGTGGTCAGAACGGGAAAAGCTCCTTCACATAAACTGCTTGGAGATGATAGCAGTCGACAAAGCGCTACGGCTTTTTTGTCCCCAGATAACAGGCCACCACGTCTTAGTCCGGTCGGACAACATGTCAGTGGTGGCATACATAAATCGCCAGGGCGGCGTCAGGTCACGAAGCCTTCTCAGGCTGACGGAACGCCTTCTGGTCTGGGCTCAGCACAGCCTGCTCTCACTGAGAGCGGCGCACGTGCCTGGTCACCTGAATGTGGGACCAGACAGACTGTCCAGGAACAAGGTCCCGGCAGGGGAATGGTCGCTGCACCCGCAGACGGTCCAGCTGCTGTGGAAAACGTCCGGCAGAGCACAAGTGGACCTGTTCGCGTCCCACGAAAACGCTCATTGCCCGGAGTTTTTCTCGAAAAGCAAGGACGCGCTGGCTCATGTTTGGCCCCGCTGCCCTCTATATGCTTTTCCTCCCGTCTCGCTCCTGCCTCAGGTGTTGGAACGAATCAGGGAGAACGGATGCCCAGTGCTGCTCGTAGCTCCGCTCTGGACAAACCAGACGTGGTTCCCTGCCCTGATGCAGCTGACCAGCACTGCCCCATGGCCTGTACCATTGAGGAGAGACCTCCTCTCTCAGGCGGAGGGCTCAATTTGGCACCCTCGCCCGGAGTTGTGGTCCCTGCACGCATGGGCCATCAACGGGTACCCGCTAGCCTCCCAGAAGGAGTGTTAAACACGATCGCGCAGGCTAGAGCTCCGTCTACCAGGCGGCTCTACTCCTCGAAATGGTCTGTTTTCTCTGCATGGTGTCAAGCCCAGAGCTTTTCACCTGTGGAGTGCGGGGTTTCGGAAGTGCTTTCCTTCCTTCAAGAGCTACTGGATAAGGGCAGGACCCCATCCACGCTCAAAGTGTATGTGGCGGCCATAGCAACGTTTGCAAAACCGGTGTCTGGCCAGTCGCTGGGGAAAAACGACTTAGTCGTGCGTTTCCTTAGGGGAGCTCGGAGGCTGAACCCTCCCAGGCCCCCTTCAGTCCTGACGTGGGACCTTTCCACGGTCCTGGAGGCCATGAAAGGCGCCCCGTTCGAGCCAATCCAGCTGGTGGACATGAAACACCTGTCGTTCAAAACAGTGTTTCTCATGGCTCTCGCTTCAGTGAAGCGCATAGGGGACTTACAGGCGCTTTCAGTAAGCGCGTCGTGTATGGAGTTTGGGCCTAATGACTCGAAGGTCATTCTCAAACCAAAGCACGGGTATGTCCCGAAATCCCTCAATACACCGTTCAGGGCCCAGGTAATTTCCCTGTCCGCCCTTCCGGTTCTCAGTGAGGAGGATGATGCGAGTCTCCTTTGCCCCGTCAGGGCATTGAGAGCTTATGTGTCACGCTCGTCTGTTTTCAGACAGACGGAGCAGCTTTTTGTTTTGTTTGGCGGGCGTTCCAAGGGACTCGCCGCCTCAAAACAGAGCCTATCCAGATGGATAGTGGATGCCATTGCGCTCGCTTACTCTGCGAAGGGCCTACAGTGCCCTTTGGGTGTCAGGGCGCACTCCACGAGAGGCGTGGCCTCTTCGTGGGCGTGGTCGAGCGGGGTTTCCCTGCAAGATATCTGTACGGCCGCGGGCTGGGCCTCGCCGTCTACATTTATAAAATACTATGACCTGGAGGTACCCGCCTTACAAGCTAAGCTTTTGGCGGTTTAAAATTCAGTGCTATCTGCCCCGCTTTGCGGCCCAGATGCTGAGTTTACTGCAGCCCCATGAGTGTTGACACACGTATGGCTACCCAGATCAGGCTGAAAGCTTTCACCCTGGCTGCGCGTTTTGTTGTCATATAATAGCCCCGCTGGGTGCTTTTTTATAAGGAATGACGCTTCCAGCCTCTCTTCCTCCACTCTATGTGAGTTTATGGTGATTATGCACTACATGAGCCCTGGGCTTCGGCCCCCGGGACTTTGGTGTTGGATCCCTGTACGCACGGCGTGTTGCATTGTGTTCCCCTAGCGTAAGCTATTACGCAGTACGAGAGATACTCTCGTAAGAGAACGTACTCGGTTACTAACGTAACCTCTGTTCTCTCTAGAGAGGGAACGAGTACTGCGTATCTTGCCGTGCTTGGAATACGCTCTGGTTCGCTTCAGCGGTAAAAACCAGTTTGTATCAGCCTAACGAGCATATTTATAGGGTGAGACCACGCCCCTTCTGGCGGGACGTGACGATATGGGCGCGAATGGCCCCCATTGGTCATTACGTCACGCAGAGTCTCTCTCGATAGGCTGCTGCATTTGCTGCAGAGCAGCCAATAGGCGCGCGAGCTGTTTCGCCTATGTCTGCTTGCTGCTGCAAAGCGTTTTACATTATTAAAAAATTAAGGATCATTTTTGGCTTCAATATCTCGCGGAAAAGAGTTTTTCCCCTAGCGTAAGCTATTACGCAGTACTCGTTCCCTCTCTAGAGAGAACAGAGGTTACGTTAGTAACCGAGTACGACTTACTGAACACCTCCTTCAGGTCGAGGTACTCCGTGGGCACAAATCCCCTACCTCCTCCTGAAACACAGAGACAGAAACAGATGGACAGGCAGACACAAGACAAGACCCATGACATTCTTTACTCCACTCCAAAACAGATCTCTGTTGCCAGTCCACTTTAGGGTTGTGATGGATGAGCCAGGGGTGCCCGAGGACGATGGGTGCAAGAGGTGAGTCCAGTATATAATATAGTGGTTATATAGTGGTTGCCTTACGTGATGAGGGTGATATCTGGTGAATGAAATGGTGGGGAGTTGAGGGCGTGTACAGCAATCTTGTGTGTGAGGGGCTTGAGGGAAACCTGAAGTTTGTGTGCAAATGTGTGGTCAATGAAATTACCTTCTGCCCCGGAGTCCAGAAGTGCCTGACAGTCGTGGGTGTTGATTGACCATCTCAGTCTTACCGGGAGGAGCGTAGATGTGGATGAGGTCTTTTCGGCGGAGATCCCACCCGGGATAGTAGCCTCATGCTTACTATCGGGCTTGGCCTTTTACCGGACAGTTGTAGGTATAACTGTCATCTGTTCCACAAGACTGTTCCACAAGACTGGAACGCTGACACAGGAATGGGATCAGACACACAGCATAGAGGACATCCACACAGCATAGAGGACATCCACACAGCATAGAGGACATCCACACAGCATAGAGGACATCCACACAGCATAGAGGACATCCATAGAGGACATCCACACAGCATAGAGGACATCCACACAGCATAGAGGACATCCACACAGCATAGAGGACATCCACACAGCATAGAGGACATCCACACAGCATAGAGGACATCCACACAGCACAGAGGACATCCACACAGCACAGAGGACATCCACACAGCACAGAGGACATCCACACAGCACAGAGAGCATCAAACAATGATCTGACAAAGGAGATGAGAAAACGGTGAGTCTTTAAAGGTGAGGAGATTAGCTGCAGCTGGTGCCATGAATGAGATCAGCTAGACCGCTGATCAGCCAATGATGGCAGTCACGCCCACTCACCCCCCCACACACACATAACAACAAACACAAGACGAGCAGGAAACAATGCATTCATAAACCGTGACAAGAACAGAACCATACCGCCAATCCAAACTGTATGCTAATTGTCAATCGTAAGTAACGATAGTGGTCCTGACAGAAATGCTGTTTTTACAGTGCAATCTGATTTTAAATGTCAAATGATGCAATTAATCGAATTAATGTCATCCATCAACAGTATCATGTTCTGTCAGTTAAATTAAACACAGTTAATTTCTCACAGAGAGACCCAAAGCTGTATTGCGTGTTCAGCCTGACGGACGAGTGTTCAGAGGACAGACGGTCACTCTCACATGTGACATACAGGAGACAGACGTCACTAGCTGGACCTACAGCTGGAAGAAAGATGATTCACAGATTCATGTCAGTCGATCACAGGAATACAGAATCAGTTCAGTTAATGAATCTCACACAGGTCATTACAGCTGTAGTGGAAGAGAGACGCGAGGATCACGACACACACACACCAGTGATGAAGTTACACTGACGCTTTCAGGTGAGTGTGAGAATCTCTCCTTCACATCAATCTGATTTTACATCCATGGAAAAAGTATCACTGAGATCAGTGTATCTTTTTTATACTTCAACAAAACAACAAGTGCTATTAAAACTCTTATAAATGCCCAATGATAGGAGCATGTGGCATAATATGTGCATTAAAGAATAATTGTATGATGCTTTTAAGTATAAAATATAAATGATGAACAGCGACAGACATGATTGATGACTGTAAATAAATGTTGGTTTAAAAGTTGGATAATAAATAGCAGTCAGTGAGCAAAGATTCAAATCAACGGCTTCACTGAGACCTACATTACACAAGAATATTTTTTAACAGAAAGGTTTAAAAGTAAAATAACAGAAGAAAAGTCAAATCTGGAGGCACTAGAGGGTACATTATTTTTTTTAAAGATAAGAAATCTAACACGTTTTGATGATGATGAAATGATTTGTGTTTATTTGTTCAGGTTCAGAAGCTCCATTGCCAGTTCTCTCAGTTCTCAAACTGCTCAGTTTTCTGCTGGCAGCTTCTCCATATCTGCTCGTGTCCGTCATTATAGGAGTCAAATGCTACAGAGCTCATGGTGAGATTCTCTCTCTCTCTCTCTCTCTCTCTCTCTCTCTCTGATCTGTTCTCCCACAGATGAATTAAACCAGATCTACCATCATAATTAACACTTATTCATATCTTGTGTGTTTTACAGCTCAGTCTGATGAGATCAGTCAACACGCTGTAACAGAGGAGTGAAAGTCTGCTGTCCTGATGAATGAATCCCATTCTGTGTTTCTCTTTTTCAACAACTTATATTCAACTTATTTTCATAATGTGTCTGAATTTGACAAAAATAAGGCTCAAATAAACTCTGCCTGAGCTACTGCAGCTTCATTGTATCTCTATTGTATTTTTTCTTCTGTTTTTCAATGTTCTGAATGTTGAAGTAAATTGTCAAATGTTTATCCTCATTGTTTGCTGAAATTATTTTGTAATTAATATGAAGCTATCATTTTTATTTCAGATTAAGTCTTTATTTGTTTTACTATGTCTTGAATGTCTGCTCTTTTTTAATAAAGACATCTTCAAACATATAGTAGAGAATTGCTCATCTTTCCCAAATATGCTCTGATTGGTCAGATGGCCGAGTCTGTTGTGATTGGTCTACTCTGCTCTGATTGGTCAGATGGCCGAGTCTGTTGTGATTGATCTACTCTGCTCTGATTGGTCAGATGGCCCAGTCTGTTGTGATTGATCTACTCTGCTCTGATTGGTCAGATGGCCCAGTCTGTTGTGATTGGTCTACTCTGCTCTGATTGGTCAGATGACCCAGTCTGTTGTGATTGGTCTACTCTGCTCTGATTGGTCAGATGGCCCAGTCTGTTGTGATTGATCTACTCTGCTCTGATTGGTCAGATGGCCCAGTCTGTTGTGATTGGTCTACTCTGCTCTGATTGGTCAGATGGCCCAGTCTGTTGTGATTGGTCTACTCTGCTCTGATTGGTCAGATGGCCCAGTCTGTTGTGATTGGTCTACTCTGCTCTGATTGGTCAGATGGCCCAGTCTGTTGTGATTGGTCTACTCTGCTCTGATTGGTCAGATGGCCGAGTCTGTTGTGATTGATCTACTCTGCTCTGATTGGTCAGATGGCCGAGTCTGTTGTGATTGGTCTACTCTTTCTTGTAAGTCCAAAAACAGCTTTTATTGAAACCAAGTCCAGAGATCAACTCATTGTGGAATGTGCCTATTTATGACATCATATACCCTGTCCACACGAACACGGGTATTTTCAAAACCGCAGATTTTTCAATGCAGTTTTGCCGTTCGTCCACACGCAAACGCAGTATCAGGTGACTGAAACTGTACCTTTTTGAAAACTTCTGCCAGTGTTAAGTTTTTCAGAAACTCCGGTTGCAGTGTTGTCGTGTAGCCGGTGAAACGTGAGATTTTGGCACGCTGTTATCTCCTTTGTTTAATTATTATTGCTTTAGATCAGTGGTTCTCAAAGTGTGGGGTGCAAGGATACTGCATGGGGGGCGCGGAGATCAGCAAAAAAAGAAGAAAAAAAAGAAAAAGCCGTTGCACCGGCGTTCAAGCGCGTGAATAGCGGTTAGTGCTCTGCCTTAATAAAGCGCCATTTAACAACAATTACACTGAATTGTTCTTCTTCAGACTGACTTGTCACAATTGGAACAAGCCCGACATAGAATAGACCGAATCACAAAGCAACTCCGCTTCTGTGCGTTCCAGTGAGAAGACGAACAAGAATCTGAACTCGTGATGCGAGGCACTGTCAAAAGCAATCATATATTTGCGCTTTTATAGGTTATATTGTTCAGTTCATCCAAAGCATTACTGAAATATTTAAATGTTTTTGTTTATTTAAATTGAAATTTTCAGTTTTGTATTATAATTCTCTCTTACTGTTATATGAAATAATGACATTACATTGTGAAACTATTGCAGGTGTTTTTCATTGCACGTTTTTTTTAATCTTTCCATTGTTCTTATTATTATTTATACAGTTTTTTGTAAAGGTTTAAAGGGGGGCGCGCCTTTAAACCTTTACACAGATATAAAAAAAAATACTTTTTTTATCTCTGTGTACTGTAGGCCATCCTGTTTGAAAATGTACTTATTGTCAGTCTCTCTATACCTCAAGTGTTTTTTTTTTTTTTTGTGATAAATGTATCCCCTTTAAACTTTGTTCCATAATGATATAAAATAAAAAGTGTGTGCAATGGCGGACGTAGGCAAAATATTGCTTCTAATAACTGTGCTAAAAAGGAACTTCTTAATAACTTCTTTTTCAGGCTTCTGATTGGCCAACATGGCTTTACGGTTAGGGTTATATCGCCACCTGTTGGTTTGGCATGCTCTTGACAGAGCTTCATAGCGTGTTTTTGCATTTTCAATGAGAATTTTTTGTAAAACATGTGTGGATGATTTTTAAACAAAGGAGGAAAAACTTTATGAAAAGTAAGCGTAGTGTCAGGTCTTGGCAGGTCACGTTAGTCAAGCTCGCATCAGCTGATCCATATCTACCCTATAGGAATACGACGTCCATCACTGTATATATATATATAAGCTCCTTCAGTATTATCAGCAGCTGTGGCGTTTCTCAGGAGCTCATTACCCTCCTCCCTCCCCAGCTCCTCCTCTCGCCAGTCAGGATTTGGCATTCTGATCCCCCTTGAATCAGAATAAATTCTCAAATTATGTTGTACTTTAAAATCTTGAATTAATGATATCTGCAATACTTTCATGTTGGTTCTGTTCCGTTTACCCTAAGGGGGGTTATCGCTGCTCTCCTGCTCTTATCCATGCTAGGCTTTCCAGAACAGGACCATACCGCCAATCCAAACTGTATGCTAATTGTCAATCGTATTTGACGATACTGGTCCTGACAGAAATTGACAATTTAAAGGTGATTTTCTCAATGTTTCGATTTTTTTGCACCCTCAGATTCCAGATTTTCAAACAGTTGTATCTCGACCAAATATTGTCCTATCCTAACAAACCATCAATGGAAGGTGTATTTGTTCAGCTTTTAGATAATGTATAATCAAACTTCTATTACAGACTCAGGGTCCAATTTTTTTAAAAACCACCCAACATATAACACAACAACAGCAACAACACATCACTGCGTTATAAAAATACAAAAGTAACAGTGTTTCCACAATTTAGACTGATATCGTGTAGTGCTAAACCTTATATTTGATAGACCCATGATAATCTCATTTTTAGAAGCATTAAGTCGGCAGATAAATTTGTACATAAGATTATGTAACGCAGCTTTACATGCGTTAACTCCCACACTTACAAACATGCACTTGCACTATGCCATCTAGGTATCCTTAATAAAAATCTCATTGCATCATTGTGCGTTACTTGAAGCCTCTGTAAGCTCTATAATTTGTCCAAAACTGGGCAGTATAAAGTGGTGTACAATATGCTTTAAACAGTAATGTCTTCACTTTGTCTGAACAAGAGCTAAACTTACGCAAGAGTATATTAGCCGTCTGCACCTTTCTGTCTTAGTCATCACTACACTTCCCAGAATCCTCCTTGTCTCCACACCTGAACTCACTTCCTCAATCACCCACCTGTTCATCGTCATCATCATCTGTGTCACCTGTCTTCACCTCGTTAATGTTCATTTGTATCTGTATTTAGTTCCTTCTGTGCAGTCTGTCTTTGTCGGTTGTTAGTATTATTTTAATGTGAGTGTATCCTGTCTGTACCTGTGAGAAACTTTAAGTAAAGCGTTTATGTTGGAGCCTTTGGGCTTTGAATCTTCTTCAACCACACCACATCGTGACAGAGCAACCGACCTCAAAAATATGGAGTGGGCAGCCATGGAGGCTGATGAGGGGATGGCTGATCTAGAGCAGGAAGCCTCCAGGGCGGAGCAGGCCTTGCTGGTGGCCAGGGCGGAGCTGGCAGTACCGGTGTCCAGGGCGGAGCAGACCCTTCGGGCGGCCACTGCGGAACCGAGTGTCCGAAGAACCATGGCGCCATCGCAGGCTTGGAGAACTGAAGCCGCGCCGCTGATCTGCGGGACTGAAGAGGCGACATAGGGATGGATGACCGGGGTGACGATGTGGTGAGGGAGGCCGATGGGGAGAACTGAGGAAGGGAGGAGTCCATGGATGCTGAAGGGGTGCAGGTTAGTTGTATTTTGATGTGAGTGTATCCTGCCTGTCTGTACCTGTGAGAAACTTTAAGTAAAGCGTTTATATTGGAGCCTTTGGACTTTGAGTCTTCTTCAACCACACCACATCGTGACGCATACATAAAGTGGTTCACTAAGATAAGCATTTAGATAAGTCATCCATGTAAAGATTAAAAAGAACAGGGGATAAAATTCCTCCTTGTCGCACACCATTGCTAACCCCAAAAGGTGCAGAGACTTTATTGCCCCATTTTACTTGCATCATCGGGTGGGCATACCAATAAGCCAGACTTCTCACAATATTCTGGCACCCCTCTTTATCTCATTTAAAAAAATTATTTTACATGGTTAACTCGATCAAAAGCTTTAGATGCATCAATAAAATGCATAGAAACTGATTTTATCTCTATACTTATTTACTATTTCCTTTAAGGCATAAATGCACATATCGGTACCGTGTTTAGCTTTAAAACCAAACTGGTTATCTAGAGTTAAAAACACATTTATCCTATCCAGCACAATCTTCTTTAGAACTTTAGACAAAATACCGGCTACCGCTATGGGCCAGTAATTATCTAAGCTAGACCTGCTTTGTCCTTAATAACTGCTTCTGGAGCTAAAATGGGAGCTAACATCTTACTTCCATATTTAAGCTGTTCAGCGGAGATATGATCCAAACCACTTGCTTTGTTGTCAGCCAATTTGCTTATAGTTATGTGTCGTAATCATTATTGTATCATTACCTTCGATGTAGTCAACGTAATATAATTCATTTTGCACACAATTAAAAAGATTGCAATAATGCTGTCTCCATAATTAATTCCTTACTTAACAACTTCATGGCCATAGAATCAGCCCTCAGGGTTTGCTCATTTTTTACAAATAAAGCGAATAGCATACTTATATCTAGCATTAGCAAGTTTCGGTAACGCTTCCTTTTACAGTACAGTACTTACAGTGTACACCTAGAAAGTACTAATATAAGGTAAGTACATGGGTTAGGGGTAGGTTCAGGGTTAGTACCTAGTTATTACCCAGTAATTGTAATTACTATAATAAGTACATAGTAAGTACATGGGTAAGAGGACTGGAAAAGGAAGCGTTACCCAAGTTTCTTATACTCACACTCAGGCCAATCATACAAAACATTTACCATATCATTATACAGAACATAGAGCAGATATCCCTCTCATGATTTACATCTTTACAGTTAACATCGCTACACATTATTGCGTCCTTGGGTAGCCTAAATAGATATTACTCAAGGATCTATCTGTACCAACATAATAAGCTAAAAGGTCCTCCTTTGTAAGTTCTTACCAATCTATTTTTACAGTATTGACAGTATACATCTCAAATAAAATAACAAATTGACCATTGTAACTGGTTTTGTGGTCAAGGGTCACCAGTAACTACTATAACTCGAAAATGTTTTCAAACTAAGACCGAAAGAGCTGTCGGAAGCTTGATGGTGTCGTGCAAGTCATGTGACCATGGTGTAGTTCATTTAGCTTTTGACTTCTGTCAACTGTATTCATGCTTCAAAATTCATAAAAGTTGTGTTCATTGGTGCAGATCATCACGATTAACAAAACGTGTAAGCATAACCATTTGCTTGTCACAGACACTATTTTCTGCAATAATCCAAAAGCCAATGGAACAATCCCATCGCAGACCCAGCTATACTTGAATTACTACAAAGCAAAACCCCCATAGGAAGCCATAAGTCAAATGATTCAACAACAATATGTTTTATTGCTAGAGTGGTCCTGACTGAAATTCAACTCAAGTGTGTGTGTTTCCATGAGGTTGGAAGTGAGATGAAATGCATCTTTACACAATATAACTGTATAATAATTGTTCATCATAAAATATCAGTATTATGTATATTCAAAACAACATCCAGTGTTGGGGAAGTCACTTTGAGATGCAAAACATAAATATTCATGTTATTATTGTACTTGCATCCAAAGTACCAATGCAAGTAACTAGCAAAATAGAGTATGACTATAGCATACACACAATGCAAATCAAACGAGAAGTTGCACAACTACTTTAAAATTTGGCTTATTTGTTGTTGGAGGAAATGAGCAACACCATTTTTTATATATATATTTACAGTAATTGGATTATTAAGGGGGAAAATGTAAATAATGGTTATGGTAGAGATATATACTGTTGTGCCACATACCAGCATCAAGAGGAAACTGGAGGAGGGGCAAGGAAAACCACAGTCTGTAAAATGAACCTAAGCAAAAGTGAAAGCAAGCAAGAGCACATATATTCATGTCAAAGCTCAACACAACAACAGATTAAACATGGAGAACTACCAGCACGATGTGTTTTTTGAGGCAAATAATCTCTCAGATGTGGAAGTTAGACAAATACACACATACTTTAGGATCAAGAGAAGATCAGGAGGAGGACAGTGTGAGATCAGCAAAGTGGGGGACAACACCTACAAGATAAGTTTTATGAACAAAGAAGGTAAGGAAGTAAATGTTTTATTATTGCAGGGTTGTTTTTTTGCACATTGTTACAATCATTCCTGTACTTTATTTCACTTAACATTGTCAAAACAACTGTAATAATAATAATATTCCATTTCTTATAATGACAGTTCTTTAGTTCTTTATACTCATCAACATGCATTTGTATTCAAAGCCCAGGAAAGAGTGCTAGGCCGAGAAAATCATGTCATCAATATATCTGGACGAGAGGAGCTCCGTGTTTCATTAAGCTGTGACAATGTTGCTGAAAGCAGCAGACAGCCCAAAGCATCTGCTAATCAGGTAAGTGGCACAGTCATAAAACAAACAGATATTCAGCTTAGATTTATGTGCCCGGTCTACATTGTTTTCTGCTGATACAATGTCGTCAAACCTGTTTGCCCAGAGAGACCAAACCTCTGCATAGTTAACATAAATACATTGAGTAGTTCAGGGAAATCACCTGCTATTTGAAGCTTGACAATAATGTTGGCCTGGGACTAGTAGTGTGTAATATTGACACAAAAAAAAAAAAAACATCCTGATATTTTCTGTTATTTTGTCAAAACAATCATTTTGCTGAGTGTGTTTTTGCGCTGGTACCTTGGCTGTTTTAGCCAGGCCTGTCGTGGACAGCTAAATTAAAGGCCCATTTAGTTGCCTCTTTAAATTTATTTGCGGACATTTGAACCTTTATATTTAATAATAATAATAATTTGTTACATTTATATAACGCTTTTCTGGGTACTCAAAGCGCTTTACATGGAAGGGGGAATCTCCTCAACCACATTTTATTTTATCTTACCTTATTACATGTATGCATAATATTATATGTCAAAATCATACAATAAATTAAATTAAAAAAATAGCTGCAAGCAGCAATTATTGTGGCCAAGCACAAAGAACACGATAAGTCATGCCAACATGGCTGGGAGCATCAGACCAACTGCAACAATGAGCAATTAAAGACATATTAAGATCATTTTAGGCAAACTGGCTGAAAAAAAGTTTGGTGTTAATTTCCCAAAGCATTGCAGAGATACAGCCTCAGTCTTTTTGGCATCATGCCATCAAAATTGTTGATGCGGTATACACGAAACCCAATTAATCTATTGAGACCAGTTTCATTACAATAGCCTAATATAATCAAAAAATTTTGGACATTTCATTATAACTTTTGACCACAAGGTGGCGCTGCCCGAAAACTTTTTGAGTACCCTCAGGCCATAGTGATGAAGACATACTGAGTTTTCTAACGATACGCAAATGCGTTCATAAAATCTAGCATTTTATTACAAAATTTCTAGATGGCCGATGGGGTATCGTATGACACGGCATGCTGAAGAGACTCTAGAGAGACCAGTTTTGTGAATTAGTGAAAACATCCATTTTCCATGTCTCCTGATAACAAGGTGGCACTGCGCCAATACCGTATAAATAACCTCAGATCATGTTTGTCATAACAAACTCCAAGTTTGGTCAGAATACGTTAAAGCATTGTCGAGATATAGCCTCACTTTTTTTATTTTGGCGTGCTCTTCGTCAAATTCGTTCACGCATTATTCGAGAACGGTTTGACAAATCGATTTGAATTTCATAACTTTCTGTCAGCATGGTCTGAAGATGACTTGGTTAAATTTTCGTGAAAATCGGAACAACGGCCTTGAAGGAATTTTAAAAAGTATGGTTTCACAAAATGGTGGAAAAGGGGGAACCCGAGGATAAAAAGTATTTTGTTTGTAGCCCTTATGGTTAAAAAATTATTAGCATTAACATGCAAATTTGTACAGTTGGTGACACTAGAGGGATTGAGTTAGAGACTCCAAATTTGCTATGGTGACAGTTCAGACTGTCCTCTATCTGTGTGTCAAACTTTTCGGCCAGCGGTTCTATGGGCTGCCATGGACTCAATAACGGAGTATATCTAAGAATAATAATAACGCCAACAGATAGGTGTCTACGCAGCTTCGGTGCTTGGCCCCTATATCCTTATTGTTAATGGTGATGTCCAATTCATGAACAAATCAGTCTTTTGAACTGGTTCACAGTTCCGGACGTGCTTGACAGTCACTCCGACTCGAAATGAGCCATTATACAGGATTAAATAATCCCATGATGCCATTTCAGCACTCCAGTTAGTTCAACAGTACAACTGAGAACAGAACAGACATATCCAACATGCTGAGAACTGTCGACCTAAAACTGTCTTTTGTTTAAAAGTATAAAGTATAACAAATAAAATATAAAATATAAAATATATAATATAAATTATAAAACTGAACTGATGGCAGTATTTCTCGAGTCATACACTTAGTCCAAACAAAAGTTAATGGTTACGACAGTTGTGAAGTCACAAGTACACTGAACTGAGGAAACAGTTTGGACTCGCACATAAACTCGACAAATTTTTTTTTTTTATGGTTTCTCGTGGTATATGTAAAAAGGTGAGTTGATTAAGACTAGTTTATTCACTTTATACTTTAGACGTCCATGTTTTACATCATTTGGTGTACATGATGTCATTGCGTGATTGTGTACACAAACCGTTTTTTTAACCGGTTCATTGAAATGAACTGCCCGAAAGAACCAGTTTGCGGAAATGAATCCGACTTCACATCACTAATTGGAAGTATCACTTCCCATCACTCACTTGTCTTGAATCTTCATTATGAAGCATTTGGTACAATCAATGAATGCATGTCTTTATCATTTGTTCTTTTTTTTTCTTTTCTTTTTTTTTAGAAATGTGCAAGTGATAAAAGTATGGAGAAGGTTTTTAAACTGGACTTTTATCTATTACGTTACCTCAGCGAATGTAAAAAGTCGAATTCGAACTTGGAGAAACTTCTGTCTGCGCTCCACAGCACCTTTGAGATCCACATTGACTCTGAAGAGTTGGTGGTGAGGAGGGACCCAGCAGCTGAGGACATGTCCCTGAAGAAATGGGAATTTGGGGTCGACCAAGTGTTCGAGACTTTAAAGTCACGCTATAATATCTACTTTGAGGTTGATCGGGACAAATCTAAAATTCTGGAACAACACCTTTACCTCTCTGGTGAGGACTTAAAAATCTATTGTGATGAAGAGACGTGTTTAGCCGTCGTGGTTGGAGAGCAGAAACAAGTGGAGAAGATTTTAAAATTTGTAAGTGGATTGCATGATCAACAGCAGATTCAAGAAGAGTGTCATGTGTCTGAGAAGCAATTCAGCCTCATCAAAGAGCAGTTTGAGTCGTTCAGAGAGTCTAATTTGCCTGCACTTCAGATCGCTCAGGAAAAAACGGGCATTCTCCTTTTGAAGGGTCCTGAAAAAGAGGTCCATGCAGGCAAAAAGGAGCTTTTAAACTTAGCAAAAGAAATCAAAGAGAAGAGGATCCCATCACATCGTCTTCTTGTGACCTTTTTGGAATCAAGTGGTGGTATAAAGCACTTCCAAAACCGATTTCAGCAGAGACTCTGCAGCCCGGTTATGCTCGAGACTTCAGGTTCAGATCTCCTTTTGTTGAGTTTGTCTGACGGAGCGCTACAGGAGGCGGCTGTTGCTGTGCAGAGAGACCTGTGTTCGGAGACTGTGCATCTGGAAAACACTCAGAAATCATCTGCGTTTAATAAGCTGAAGGAGGATTTGAGTGAAGCTGTCAAGCAGGCCAATCGTGACAGTGGTAAAGTGGAGCTCAAATACCTGGATGAATCAAGTGTTGACCCCAAAGTGCAACTGGTGGGCTACACTACTGAAGTTAGTAGGCTGAAGAGCATTGTGCTAGAATACAAAAGAAACCATCAGAAACATCATGACTCCCTGCCGCTTCCCAAGCCAGAAATGGCAGACCACTTCCCTGAGATCTTGTCGATGGCCGGTGTAAAGAAGAGCAGTGTGGAAATAAAGCCAACGAGGTTTCCTTCCCCATGCATCCAGCTCACAGGACCTCGTTGCGAAGTTGAGAGTTTGAAGGACAGCCTTGAGGTGTTTCTTCTGAGTCTTGTCACTAAACGATTTGAGGTGAAAGGACCTGGAGTTAAAACATTCTTTCAAAGTGATGGTGCAGAGACTTTGAAATTAGTGAAATCTTCTTATACGGTTTGCATACTGCCCATTGATGATGGCCGTAAAAGTGGTAACGTGCCCATATACATGAACAGAGAGCGTTTTCAGAGCTTGCCAGCTGCTGCATCTGCCCAATACTCTCTGGACTTTGACAATGAGATACACATTAAAGTTGTGGTTGGTAGTCTTGAGCAACAACAGGTAAGTTGTTCTTTTTTTTTCTCTCTCAAAATACTCGGTCTTAAAGGGAGACTCCACCCAATTTTTTTTAAATTCCTCCATCATCTCCTCACCCTCATGCCGTCACAAATATAATGACTTACTGTACCCACCAATGCCGATTGAATTAACTATTTTTTTTATGATTTGTATCATTAATACAGGCCGATGTATTTGTTGCTCCAATGATAAAAACAAACATGACCTCAACCTTGATTGGATCATCCTTGTTGAAAAAAGCAGGACAGCAGCTTCAGACTAACTTCAACAATGCCCAGGGAAAGCGTACACTTACGCATGGAGACGTGCTGGAGGTGGATGCGACACCAGCGCTGGGATGCTCAAAGGTTTTCTTCATAGAATGTGTGCCCAAAGGAAAAAACCACAACAGCGAAAAAGTAAGAGGCAGTAAGACATTTAAAAAGGGTTAAGATGTGTTTTGACTGAACAGATGATTGAATGGATGAGATTTACAGAAAAGATTTAGTAGTTTTGCCATCCATATTTTTTTTAATTTTGTTATAGGCACTTCGCTGCGGACTTGGCCGAGTTTTTGCGCTATGTGAGCAGAATTCTTGGGGTTCAGTTGCACTGCCAATAATAGGACCTGGCATAGTGCTGTCGATACCGGTCAAAGATGCCGTTAATATTCTTACTCATGAGATCTGTGAATTTTTATCTCGATCCCCTGGTTGCCTGGAAACCATTTGTATCGCCATAATGCCTAATTACGCTCAATCTGAGGAAGTAAGAAGTCTACATATTATACGCCCTCTATGCAATGAAGTTTATTGCAGTGATTGTTATTCCTAACCCTATTTTGGAAATATTTTGCAGATGTTCCAGACAGTCTGTGTGGATCTGAGTGCCAAAATGGTGGACAACGCAGGACAAGGCAAGAGATTCAAGAATTATGTATTGCGTTCATTGATCCATGCTATTTTGACCCACTCCCAACTTATCAAGAATAATGTATTTGAAAATATAAGAGCAAAAAAATAATTCACTCAACAAATCTGCAAAAAGTCTAAATGGTTTCTTCATCTGCATGTCTTACACTGTCACCACAGCTCTGTTTCACTCACTGACCTCTGACCTTGATGAGATCATCATGCCAGTAGATAGGATTGAACTCCATCTAGTGTTCGGTGACATCACCAATGAGACTACTGATGCCATTGTGAACACCACTGACTTTAAGGACTTCCAGACAAGTGGTATTCGAGCAGATTTCTAAATAACAAAAGCATTCTTGATTTCAAATTAAACAATTTCAACCATAAAAGAGTGTTTACTTTTGACCTAATCTGTCACAGGAGTGTGTAAAGACATCCTCACCAAAGCAGGATCTCATGTCCAGGGTCAACTGACAGGAGGTAAGAAAAAAAAAATGTTTTAATATAAAATTAACTTTTGATTTATTATTATATTAAAAGAGTTTTCAAATACTGTATGTTTGAATGCAGTATAAAATGCAGTTGTGATAAAACTACTTCAGATAATTAGTTACACACAGAGTTTTATAGTATCAGTAGATTGATCTATCCACATTAGTTTACTGTGGGAGCCAATTTCTAACCCAAATAAGACGGTGTGCTTCTAGAAAAGCATGAGAAACTACATACCCTTAACCAAACCTGTTTTCAAAAACAATTAGAAGTGCAGAAGTAAAAAAACGGGCAACATTTTTGACCTTCAGGCATTTTCAAAAGCTCAGTTGACATATTTAAAGAATAAGCCAAAATTATATATATATATATATATATATATATATATATATACATTATACATTAAACAACCCTAGCCTAGATGATAAATGAAATATATTCTTTAAAATAAAATTATAAAAATATATTTACAAATAAAAAGGGTTTTTTTTAGAGAAAAAACTGTCCACCTGGAAGCCTACAAACTTCACAGACAACAATACAAAGACGCCCTCAATTCTGCCCGCTCCTCCCATTACTCCTCTGTCATCCAAACCGGCTCCAAGACCTAAGTCTCAAGTCCCAAGTCCCAAATCCCAAGACCCTCTTCTCCACAATCAACAAACTTCTGAAACCCATGGACACAATCTCCAACTCCTTCACCACCTCTAAGTGTGATTTTTTCCTCTCCTTCTTCAAAACCAAGATCGACAACATCCATAATCAACTGGCGCATAGCTCCCCCTCCTTCACCCCTGGACCTCCACCACCCTCCCCTCCATCACACTCACTTTCTTCATTCACTCCAATCACTGAAACCGATGTATCTACCATAATCTCCACCATGAAGCCCTCAACCTCTCCCCTTGACCATATCCCAACATTTCTTGCCAAGGCATCACCAACATAATCAACTCCTCTCTGGCCTTTGGCATTGTCCCCTCCCCACTCAAGTTTCCTGACATCACCCCCATATTGAAAAAAACCTGGTCTGGACCCAGACATTCCAAACAGCTTCCGCCCCATCTCAAACCTCCCATTTCTGTCCAAAATCCTGGAGCGAGCTGTTGCTACTCAACTTCAAACTCACCTCAACTCCAATAACCTATATGAACCATTCCAATCTGGCTTCCGCTCTAAACAGAGCACCGAAACTGCCCTCCTCAAAATTACCAATGACATTCTCCTTGCTGCCAACTCTGGTCTCCTCACCATCCTCATCCTACTAGACCTCAGTGCAGCCTTTGACACCATCAAACACTCCATCCTCCTTTCACGCCTTCAGCACCAAATTGGAATAACCGTCCTAACCTGGTTCACTTCCTATCTTTCTGACAGACACCATTACATCTCGATAAACAACTGTAAGTCTTCTACCACTTCCGTCACTCATGGTGTCCCCCAGTGTTCAGTTCTTGGCCCCCTCCTCTTCATCCCGTACATGCTCCCCCTTGGACAGATCCTCCGCCGACATGGCCCCCACTTCTACTGCTATGCGGATGACACCCAACGCTATCTATCCTCCAAGACCATCACAGTCTCCATCCACTCAACCCTTACAACCTGGCTCACTGACTTTAAATCATGGATGTACGAAAACTTTCTCCAACTCAACTGTAATAAATCAGAGATTATCAATTGGTCCTAACTCCCTCACCCGACATGCCCAGACCTTTTCCCTCAACATCGATGTCTCCAACGTCACCACCTCCACCTGCATCCACAACCTTGGAATCATCTTCGATCCTACCCTCTCCTTTGTACCGCATGTCAATCCCATCACCAAAATCGCCTTCTTTCACCTTCGTAACATCGCACGGCTCAGCTCCTCTCTGTCTATCATTGCACCTGAAACACTCATCCATGCCCTCATCACCTCCAGACTGGATTATTGCAACAGCATTCTTTATGGACTACCAAACAAAATCATCGATAAACTTCAATATGTCCAGAACTTGGCTGTCCAACTTCTCACCTCCACTCGCCGCCGAGATCATATCACCCCTGCCTCTACAAACTCCACTGGCTCCCAGTCAAATACAGGATCAACTTCAAAATATTTCCCCTTACATACAAAGCACTTGATAACCTTGCCCCTCCATACCTCCCCATCCTCCTAACCTGCCGCACTCACGCCTGCCTCTGGAACGCCCTCCCCGTCCACATCAAACAGTCAAGCACCTTAACATCCTTCAAACAGGCCTCAAAACTCAGCTCTTCGAACTTGCCTTTTCCTATTAACAGACTTTACAAGTTTTTAATCCCTTTCATTTCCCACCTCTCTTGCTTTGCCTCTGCTTGTCCATGCACCTATGTGTTTTCATTTATTTTGCCAGTTATGTAAACCAAAATTGTAAAGCGTCTTTGAGTGTCTAGAAAAGTGCTATAAAAAAATAAATGTATTATTATTATGTTATTTGAGATATCTACAGTCAAACCTGGCAAAAAAAAAAAGAGATTCAGCTCTTCAGGGAGGGATGAACTCACTGTGTGTGTTGAGCTGATGTTATTGCCCGCATAATCTGGGAAGGCCTTGATGCCCTGCCACATGTGTCGAGAGTCAGTGTTGTTAAAGTACTCTTCAATACGCTTCTGTAGTAGTGCTTCGCTTCCTTGATGCCTCTCCTCAGTTTGGCCCTCGCTGTTCGATAGGCCCCTTGGTCTCCTTACCGGAAAGCAGCATCTAATGACTAATCACAGCTGTATTCATCACTGGTTTATGATTGGGGTGTGTGCATATTTTCCTCTCTGTGGTGACATTGTCCATACAGAAACTGATGTAGTCCAGCACGGGTGAGGCATAGGTGTTTAGATCAGTGTGATTATTGTGTGTGGCAGTCAGTTTAAATAAGTCCCAATCAGTCTCATCGAAACAGTCCTGCTGGTGTCAAGGTGGCAATGCATTGCCGGCATGGTCTGAAGATCATCTGAGCCAATTTTAGTGAAACCAATGGTATAGGACAAATTTGAAAAAGTAGGTTTTCAAAGAAATTCAAATTGTCAGACAACAAGTTTGACCAAATATGGTATAATTGATTAATATCATAGTCCTTGATATGACTCAAGTAATTTATCAAGACCAATTTCATTAGAATAGGTTAGATTATTCAAAAGCCCTTAGCATTTTTTTTATTTCATTATAAATTTTGACCAGAAGGTGGCTCTGTTCCAAAACGTTTTTAATACATTCACGGCATGGTCCCGAAGACACATACCGAGTTTCAAACAATACCCTAATGCATTTATAAAATACAGCTATTTACGACCAAATTCAAATGGGGAAATTGGATAGCATTGGACTCGGTATTCTGCACCGAATCAAAAGAGACCGGTTTAATAGTTTTTGGGCAAACTTATCAGGTGTTAAAAGTAAAAATAAACATTTTCCATATCTATTTCCTGACCAGTAGGTGGCCCTGAACAAGAGGAAAACATTTTGTTTGTAGCCCTTAGGATTCAAAAGTTATTGAGCATGAACATGAGCATCTTTGGACAGTCTGTGGCGCTGGAGGTTTTGAGTTAGACTTCAAATTGGCTATGAGGACATATCAGACTGTCCTCTATCTGTGTGCCAAATTTCATAACTTTCCCACAAACAGTTCTGTGGGCTGCCATAGACTCAAGAGCGGAAGAAGAAAAAGAAGAACAAGAACAAGAAGAACTGACTGTTTGCTTACCATATAATCTACTCCTTAATATGTGGCCTTGTTAAGAGATGATCAAACAATCGCTCTACCTGTGAATTGTCATGTTTTGGCTGATCAGTGTTTGTGTGTGGTGTGCAAAGTGGGATTTATTTTAGGATAAAAGTGTCTGCTAACTGCATAAATGTAAAAGGCAGCAATGATATGCAACATGTCATCTAACACTACCCCTTTTATATGTTCTCCAGCTCAGGTAACAAGTGGACAGATATTTACGACCCCGCCAGGAGGATTTCCATGTAAGACAATCATGCATGTTTGTGGAGAGAGGGACGCCAGTGTTATCAAGACCTTGGTGAAAGCAATAGTGGTTCAATGTGAACACGGCCGTTACCGGTCTGTGGCCATTCCTGCTATCTGTGCTGGTCAGTAGAATAATTTTTGCTTGTAATCCAAAATATTTTCCGATTTGTCTTTAAAGTCAGTTTTTTTTTCTTTCTTTTTTTCTTTTTGCTGGAAAAAAACTTGCAGGACAAGGAGGTTTGGATGCAAAAGTGGTGGCCAAGTCTATTCTAGAGGGAGTAAAGGATGGTGTTCAAGGAGCTAATCTTCAATATCTCAGAACTATTCGGATCATTCTGCTGAAGATTAATGTTTTCCTGGAGTTTAAAGCGATGGCACAGCAAATCTTTGGTGGTAATATACAGTTGACAGGTGAGGATAAATCTGTGCCATGCAGAGGCAATAACAGTTTTTATCATGTCCATGTCATGCATTTAAATAAATATATTTTTGTTAATGCTTTTTCAGTGTTTTACAGTAAGACACTCATGATGTATTTTTGTAAGTCAACACAGATATTAGCATCACCCTGGTTCCCTTGTCATAAAACCAATAGTAGTTTTCCATTGGCTTTTGGATTATTTCAGAAAATAAGCTCTGTGACCAACAAACGTTTATGAAACGTTTCATTCATCATGATAATCTTCACAAATTAACTACTTTTAATGGATTTTTAAGGCCTAAATACAATTGCTAGACAATAAACGCACTACACCACCGTCACACGACCAACACTAAGCTTCTGACAACTCTTCAGTCTTTATTTAAAAACATTTCCTGAAACTTTGATTTAGAATAGTTTGCAAGAGCACAATTATAAACACAATGAGGTTACAAAAGTGAAATAGTCAGCAGATGACTATAACGTAAAAGCTTCTTTTTTTTAAATCACAAGGGAGTTTTACTGATGTATTTTATGTCATGGAATAAAGCATGAAAATGTCTTGAGCTTGACATTATTTCAGGCATTTCACCACAAACCCATTCAAAACAACATTAACTTCTGGACGATGGAACCGAAAGTGCTTAAATACTAACTCGTTTCCTAGGTTTGGCCTACAAAAATACGTCATTCCTGCATCACTCTATTGACAATATTGCACTTTCACCTTTTTCAGCTCCTGCACCACTTGTACCAACAAACGTAACCTCCAGAGGGCGCAGTGGATCAACTATATCACGCAGATCACAATCACGCAGATCACAATCATTTTCTTTACAACACTCTCTTGACTTGAGTTCTCTAGTCAGTGCTTTGCCAGTCACAGAGAACACAGCAGCATTTCTAGTGATCGGTCACACAGATAATGAAGTGTGTGATGCCTGCAGAGAACTCCAGCGGGCGTATGAGAGCCAGTGCTCCACACACTCTTTCCACCCAGAGGAGATTGAACGTCTCACTCAGGATGAGATGAACCAGCTGCTCTCTAAAGTCGATTCCCTGCACCTGAAGCTGGAACAGAGCAGCTCTGGAGGATGGGAAGTGAAAGGGCTGAAGGATGGAGTTAATGAGGTGGTTAGACTGATACAAGATGCACTTCGCAGACAGGTGAGAAAGACAACATTAATATTAAATTAGCACTATAGACTATCTTACAATTACCATATAATTTGCATACAATATACTTAAATAAAGTGCATATATAATTTACATATAATTTTGAACAAATCGTCTGAGCATGATATGCATATAATTTTGAACAAAAAAAGTTACATAGTGAATCTCTAATCAACCATGGGAACAAATGATAAATGCAATATAAACGCTTTGCATCAATGTTAAACTTAAAACCATGGCTTTATAAACAGCAAAGAACATTTTGTAAATAAATACATGAATAAATGGGCAAAGCCTAAAAAATTCTTCTCTCAAACTCTAAGGTAAGAGAGAAGGACCAGGCATCCCTCTTCACTCGGGTCACATGGTGCATTCTGGGACAACGGGGCGTTTGGCAGAAGGTGCCCGCAGAGGAGAATTATAAGCTTGAGAGAGAAGATGTGAAAGATGGAATTATTGATGCACAGGGTGTGAAATGGACTGTGGATTTGAGAAAGTTGGAGGCCACAGCATGTGGTTCAGGACACGTGACGTCTCTCAAACGACTGGAGAACCTTTCAGGTAAAAGAACCTTTCATGAAATGTGAAAATATGACCCCAGTTAAAAACCACTGATTGACATCTATAGAATAAAATTAAACATCCTTGAAAATAATCAAACTGAATCAAAACCCTCCCTATTTTGCATTTCAGATTTCTCTTTGCCCATCAACTGGGACAACATGAGTCACAGTGACCTGTTAAAGGTGATCGCTTTAGATCAGCAATCTATGGAGTACCAGACCGTGAAGGCAGACTTCAAGAAGACCGTCACAAAAACAGTGCTCAAGGTTTGACACTCAACAGCAAAGTGTGCTTTACATGACAAAAACCATCCTGAACGACATAAAAACAGCTTTTAAAGGACCACATAATGATATCTTAAATCATATTTAAACATTCAAAAGTGCTGTATTTTTTATAGTTAGTCTACAGCAAGGCCAGATTACTGGACTAAACATTGTCTATTATATTTATATTGTTATATTTTTGTCTATAATGTACCATGTTGTATGGCAGTATAGTCACCATTTGCTTCTATGAAGAGCAAGAGATGTGAATGTGAATGTGAAGCTCATGGTTATGTGTGTGCAAATGTGTTTCAATAGATCGAGCGCATCCAGAACATGAATCTTCGGCGGTTATATGAGGGACGTAAAAAAGAGCTGGAGAACAGAAACGGTGGCAGTGTGGGAGCAGGAGAGAAGACCCTTTATCACGGCACATCAGAGGAGTCCTGCTCAACCATCATGAAGTCAAACTTTAATCGAAATTTTGCTGGGCAAAATGGTAAATGTTTGTTTTTAAAGGTTAATTAATTTAAATAATTCTGTTATCGGGAAAAGGTAAAAAGGGTCGGGAAAGGTACACGAGCCGAGACTCGTACTCGGGTCTCCCAAAGCGGCATGACAAAATGACAAGTACCACCATAGTCCATATGAATCACTTATAGTCTTCTGAAGTCATGCAATAACTGTCGGAGGAACAAACCCAAATTTAGGATGTTGATCATTGAACAGCAAATCATGGCAGAATTGTAATTTTTGGGTGAATGTTACCATTATTATTTTATTTGATGGACTATCCAACTGAGAAGTCCCTGATGATCTCATTGGTTGTTCATTTTGAAGACTAATCGATTAACTCACTCTGATGACTTTTTATTTGTTCTCAGCCACCGTCTACGGTAATGGGACGTACTTTGCTTTGGACGCCAGCTATTCTGCCCATCCTACCTATGCGGTTCCTGCAGCAGACGGGACTCAGCTCATGTTCGTGGCTTGTGTGCTTACGGGTCATTACGCTCAGGGTCAGACGGGCATGAAGACGCCCCCTGTTCGCCTCGCACCTGACCACAATTATGACAGTGTGGTGGATAACATCCAAAATCCCTCCATGTTTGTGGTTTTTCACGACTGCCAGGCTTATCCAGAATACCTCATCACATTTAAATGAACTTCAGCCAAAACCAACCTTTGGTTTGTTCCCTGTAAAGTCAACCGGATGAGCTCTGAATGATCTATAAACCATCACTATTTACGTAGTTCCTTTTACATTTAAATATAATTACTTTTATTCAAAGGTTAGATTAGGTATCACATAGCAGATAGATACCTCTTTAAGCTTTATGTCATTCTCATTGTATATGAGTGTTTTATTGACCAATACCATTCAAATTGCACAATTTAATGATATGAGAGCAGAAAAAGTGCAATATTAATTGACAAAGCTGTTTATTTGATTATTATGGAACATTTACTCAGATTAAATACTTCAGGGAATCGCACAGGTATTTTCTGACTTGTGCAATAATCCACACAAGTGATATTTAGCTTCAGGGCGATCTATTCATCACTCTTTGATGCAAAAAAAAAGGTTTTGAAATATTAGTGATCATATTACAACTCTTCTTTCTCGGTTCCCATATCTCCTTCAGGCGCTCACTATCATAAATAAACCAATTGACGTTGTTTTGAATGAAATGTAGGAGTTTGCGCAATATTAAGTTGCTGCAATACTTAAGAGCAAAAAGAGAAACAGTCTATATTGTAACAGAAGTTGTTTTCTTGTATTATTTAGCTCAGTTTCTACTTTTCTTTCATTTTCTGACATTAGCTTTTTGGACTGTAGAACAGACTGATCGGCCTCTATTTTATAGAGAAAGCCTAATCTCCTATTGACTTGTAAACTTTCAAAATCCATCCAATGGCGATGATGTCGTTGTGATATTTGCATACTGGATTGTGATCGTTTTTTGCTTTCCTGTCCTTACAGCACTTTGTTTTAAGTTGTGTCACTTATGCACAAGAACAATAAAATTATCTTTATCAAGAATGATAAAATGAGTTAGGATTGTTGAAGTAGTTCATGCCAGTTCACTCAAGCACCATAAAAATGTGTCCATGTGACTTGTTTGCTTTTTTCCATCTCTTCCAAAGTCATACAATAGTTTGTGTGACTGTTAAAAACCTTGAAAGGTCCGCAAGATACCGCAACATTTATATATTAACGTACTGCTGAAGGTGAGATGTGGTGGAAGAATACATGACAGGCTCTTCTTGAAGGGAAAAATAAACTGGACTTCATTTACAACAAGTCGAAGCCACTGAATCCAGTCAAAGCAACAATAATAAGGTGTGCTATGTACAAAATAATTAAGTGAACAAACAAACAATAAATGGGAAAAGAACAAAAGCGGCGCCAAAGGAAAGAACAAAATATAACAAAACAATCCTTAATCTAAACCTGATCTAACCAAAGAAAATTTTAGAAAATAAACCGAAAACGTTGGTGCTTCCGGCACCCTAGATAAACTACCTAACAAAACAGAAATACAACGATTGGCGCTCAGTTCTTGTGTCTTGACAGCAGTAGCGTACCATGGGGTTTCAGTCAGGGCCTTCAGTAAAGACCCAGTGGTCCTTGGTGATTCATATAAAGCTAGTAAACTACCGCCACTTAAAGAGGAAAAAAACATATAGGAAAAACTAAATTAATACCCATGGCTCCTGACGATACACTGAGGTCTTATAAAGCGAAACGATCAGTTTGTGTAAGAAACTGAACATTATTTAAAACATTTTACCTGTAATGCACAGCCTTGGTCCTAAAAGCGTTCATAACCGTCTGGAGCGCGAGCTGCCTGATGCATTGACGCATGCGCGGGTCGCGGGAACAAATCAAGCGTGCTGCACAATAAAGTCTGAATTTAAGTGAAGCCAAAGCGTCTCGATCGCCCCCAGGTTTTCCTAAGATGTTTTCTGTCATTTAAGTTTTTATCATGCTGATGTAAGTTTAAGTGTTTGTTTAATTAAATAAATTTGGTTAGTTATTTAATGCAATAAAAACTGTGACATCATGATTGACAGCTGTGATTGAGCTTCTCAAAGTAGCCTAGTCACTGAGGCACCAACAGGCTTTTTGGGGGGATTTTCGGGAGGGGATTGGAACTTCTACTTTAATTTCTACATTTCCATAAATTACATTTCCATATTTTACACCAACATAATGAGTTGTTCTGCAGTAAACTGTAGGTTAACCGTTTCTGCGGGAGTGATAACGCAACTCTCACTACTGGTCCCACAAGATGTCCGCGCCATATTGGGACATTGGCGGCTTCACATTTCTACAATGGAAGAGTGTGAAGGTGCGTTGTCCATCTTTTTTACAGTCTGTGGAATAAATATATTCCAGACAGCTCGGAATTTAGATTTTCCCACCTCTTTCTTGGAAACAACACCTGAAAACATGACAAATGTGGGTTTTTCTTAGTGAGCAATAAGCTTGGTGAAATTAAAGGTAGTCTACATCGTGTCAGTGATCAGTGTTTACAAAGCTTGGTGACTGATGAAAATAAGTTGACTATTAGCAAGAACAGCTGAGTTCACAAATAAAATGGTATTATTTTTGAATAAATGTAAAAATGCTTAAACACTTGATGAGATTTATACTTAGTGTTAAACAAAAAAAGGAACAAATTACATATAGTAAATATACAAAATCTAATTATATTTGGTTTATTTTTTTCTTTGATGTAATGTTTATTTAATTTTCTTTTTATTTCTCATAAAGCTATCATACGGGAATATATTGCACAAGTCATATTTACTGTTTCAATGGAGCTTGACTAATGATGAGCAGGATTAAAGATGTGTGCCGAGGCTTTTGTTTTCCATGGGAGAGCGACATCTAGGTTTGGATGTGGGTGAGTTTCTGTAACATGACTAAACTTTAATGTGTGGGTGAACTAATTATGGATGTGGGTAAATTAATGAATGTTTCCGTTGTGTTGCAGTTAGATGTGTAGGTAGCGTGTGATTTACTGACACATAGTCAATGTCTTGAACTGATTTTTTCTGATATCTGATCTCTGATATCTGTTCTCACATGCCTGGATTCCTGATACATACGTCATCAGACTCGTCCCACTCTGGAAGTCTGGAATTCTCCCAATAAAGAGCGTAATAAACAAACTGTAGGTGAGAAAGATCCCTTTTATCTGTATGGGCCATAAAGAAGTTATTCAGTGGAAAGATGACACTTCTGTTTACACATTTTCCTCCACTTTATACTCATAAACTGTGTAGCAGAAATTAAAAAGAAAAATTTAACTGCTTGGACTATTTCAATTAGTCATCAGCAGTTTCACTACTTTTGCATTATTGCAATGGTTTTCCCAAAAAGGAACTGATGAAAGAGCAAGATGACAAATGCAACAAAACGTATGCTTAACTGAAGTTTGGCAGACGCAACAAACCAATCGCCTGAAATATCATTTCAAAAGTTTTTTCCAAGCATGTCTATCTGGACTATTTATGTTAGAGTAGAATAAAAAGAGCATCATTCAATATATATGTGTATATATATATATATATAAACAAAATGTATGTATATTCAAGTAAACCTAAGTTGCTTCAGTCTAGCAAATGTTCATCTTGAAATATCACTAAAGTTAATCTTATGTTTACTTTATAAAAAGTAAAGATTTCACAGCAAAAAAAGAACCACGAGCTGAAGCTGGAATTTTTACAATTACACTAAAAGGCCTTTTACTTTCCCAAAATAGTATGAACTATCAATCAGACGACAGGAGGACTGCAGTAGATTGTGTACAACTGCAAGTTTCAGCAAAGTTATAAACATGTTGATTATTTAGAGGCCTCAGAAATTACCATATCAAATATGACACATTATGCTTCACAGGGTTAAGAAGTATTTTTATAATTGCTTGCAAAAGAAATTGCAATAGAGTAATAGCCCTTTAGAGAGAGAGCGAGAAAGAGAGAGTTCCTTGGAAGAGAAGATTAGTCGGAATCGTAGTTGCGCAACACACTCTCGTGTCGTGTGAAAGTCTCTCTCTTTAACCTGTTAAGCTTCAAGCCCACTTTTGAAAAATCAGAAATGCACTGCAGCTAAAGCCACATGTCTGACCATTTTATATTTAAAATCTGAAAATGATAAGTATAAAGCTCTGTATTTAGTTAAATGTTTTTCAAGATCATGTCAAATTACTTTATTTTGATTAGACTCTATTAGCAAACTGATGTTTAGTCATCTTCTGAGTCATCTATTCAGTCTATTGTCTCTATTGTTTTGTGGTGCCCCATTCAGTCTCAGTCTCCCCTGCACACATTTACACCTCTCCAGACTGGTTATTATGGCTCTAAATATGCATTTCTTTTGTCTGCATTATAGCTACTAACGACTGGCTATTCACAAGCTATTCATAGGGTTTCAAACCCTAATTTCTTTTATCAAAGTTCTCACTAAATATTTGAAACTGGTATCAAATGCACTGAAACATTTCAGTAAGCATTCCTATTTAGAAAAAAATCATAAAACAATAGCTCGTGGCAGGTGCGCCTGGGCTCGCTAGCATGTTAGCTTAGCACACCATCAATACACGACCATTTATGAGATTAAAACTATGTTTGCGCTCCAAACTCACTATATAACGCAAGTCTAGTGTTTTAAATAATCTTCTGTGATCTAACTTGGCTTCAGATAAAAAAAAATCAGACAGAAAATGTATTATTTAGTGTTCTGAACGATGATGAAATCTATATCGATTAGCATTACATTATAAATATAATCTATTATTATGAAATACCTGGCATGGCTTGAAGAACACAGGTAACTCAAATATCATTGCAATCATGTTTATTGTCTTCAAAACATCTTTATCTGCATGTTACAGCGATCTCTGTACTTTCTGTATCACTCAGTGACGTCCTGGAATGTCACATGACTATGGGTCTTCTTCATGATCCATATATGGACTTTTATTGGACATAATAGCGCCCCCATGCTATTGGTATGAATGGAAAACACAGCACATCTCAGTAAGAAGCGATCATTATGATTACATCGACGCATTTGGGTATAAATTCAATAAATATTATTCCTGTCTATAGAAATATGATGTGAATCTATGAGAATATATCAATATTTCTCCACATCTGCACATTGTTGAGCTAAAAGCCCTCAGGGACGTTGTTTTGTGAATCGCTGTCATGACGACAGCACGGAGTGTTTTTTATGAATGGACCGGCTGACGCTCATAATTCATATTAAAGGTATCGACTCATTTTTTTCATTTCATAACTCCTGACACAAATTAAGACATAACTGTCACTATAAGTTTCTCAGAATACAATAGTGGTCAAATACTGAATCTTGAGTCTTATATCTTTTTAATGATGTATAGTTTGTCAAGGTATAACATTAAATCTGATAGTATATTTGAACTAAATAAAAAAAAAAACGCTTCAGTGCGCCGACGCTCTGGAGAAGGTTAAGAGGTTTTAAAAGGGAGAGTGCAGGCCTGTGTTAGACTACAGCAGACGCTCACTTCACACGTTTACTGGCATTTCTCTGCACAACACTGATTCAAGATGATGAAGTTCACCGTAACAGCCTTCGTGTTTCTGATCTGCACCGCTGCGCTGCTGTCCACAACAGAAGGTAAGCAGAATATAACATTCATAACGGTGTTTTAAATCAGATCATTTGCAGATATTTACACCAACTCTCTCTCTCTGTCACTGCAGGAAAACCTCGCATTAACATGCGCTGCCGGTGCATTCAAACACATTCAAACCCACCAATTCCTATTGGAAGAATACTCTCGTTGAAGGTGATTCCTGCTGGACCACAATGCAAAAATGAGGAGATCATGTGAGTGTGAAACTTACTAAAACAACACTTCAAATACAGACACATGATTTTTGTTTCCATCTGTCAAGGTTCCACACTCTTCTTCTTCTTCTCTTCATCCTCTCAGGAGTTCACATGTGTGGACACTTGTTGCTTTTCTTTCACTAATTTTAATGATTTAAGCCTTCATATTAAAAGGTCTTTAAGATCACAAGAGTGGCTGGTAGTGTGTGAAAATTCATAACTGAAGAATGATGATGATACATGTTTCATCTGAATGAATGAAATTCAGCCTTAATTTACTCACCTTCATGTTGTGTCAAACCTGTATGGCTTGTATATGCATGTATGGCTGTATGAAGAAAGAAGAGTGAACTTCATTTAACGATAAAGTAATGACTTAGCTGAATGTCACGTGTTTTTTCTTTACAGTGGTCTTTCAAAATAATAATAAGGAATTTTATAGATTTTAAATAATCATACATTTGTTTCTTACAGTGCTACAATGAAGAAAGGAGTGACGTGTCTCAATCCTAAAGCTGACTGGGTGATTTCTCTCAAGGAAGAGTAAGTTTGTCTATGATGATGTGTCGCTTTTATTATCTGCTTATTATAAGTTAAATCAAATTCATACTTCACATTTTAATTCATACTTTTAAACTTGGACATTGCAGCACCTTTCATCCTTCAGATTGTAATGTGTGTCTCTTCATGTTTGCAGGATGAACAAGAGGAACGTCACAAAGAGCAACTAAAGGAAATTATTCATTCAACTATTACTACTGTAATATAGAATTTTCTATTTATTATTTCATTTATCATCTCTTGGTGATAATTGAAGAATCGAATGTGAAAACATGCTTTTGTTTAATAAACTGTGAATTTATGTTTTTTTAATGTAACTTTTTCTGACCTTGTTATTTTTTATTATATTTATTATTGTCTCACTGAATTATAGTTGTATACGTTAATCATAGTTTTGCATTGTTTTTTTAATGATGACACTTATACTAGCAATAAAAGTTTAAATGTCAAAATGGATTTTTTGTTGTGCCTTTGTCATCTCGCAAAAACATTAGTTACTGTAGATTACAACATGAATTCAGTATTATTCCCTAAACTATTCACCATCATGTCATTCCAAACCCATATGATGTTCTTCTGCAGAACCCAAAATGAGGAAATCTTGTAAAGACCATCCATTGGCCCAACGACAGAATCCAAAGATATAATGCGTATGTCATTTCAGTGTTCGCCTCTGTGAAGTTCACTCAATTTGTAGAATTTGGTTTCGATCTTACTCCAATTTCAAATGATTATCACATTTAGATCGTGTTTCTTATTAGAAAATATTGATTATGATTTAATTTAGATCTTTAATTATTCTGGGTATCACTTTCAATTATCCGTTCACAAGTGATAGATTTTGTATTTTCAGTCATCAGATTCATTTACATTGTGACTCTGCCTTAGATTTAATCAACTATGCTGTAGATGTAATCAACTCTATCTGTGTCTGTAAAGGTGTATGGCCCACAGAAACTGATTGGTGTGAATGACAAAGAAACAGCATTACACAGAGCAGATTGCAGGGTAGATTGATCTCCTGTGGGAGGCCCTAACAGTTTTCTATTGTTTGTAGCCCATCATGTATAAAGTTCTGTGTCAGAGACAGAACTGTGGGTTAAGATTGTTGAAGGGCGACATGCTAACATCGCTGCTGAAGGACTGCTTGTCAAGGAATGGGTAGGGATGGCTGACGCGAAACAGTCGTTCCGAAGCTTTGCGAGATCCTGAAGCGCAGATGTTTCGAAACAGTGGGTGCTTCTCAATATCCCTCCTCGTCTCCTCGCTCCTCCGTCCTCCATCCTATGACCCGGAAACCAATCGAGCTCAGCCATCTTGAAGGACATCTCAATTCTCTAATTGCACCGTGAGGAGGCGAGGATCGAGGAGTGAGGAGGCTTCCAGAGGAGCTATGAGCGAGGATACACAGGTGTACCCTTTGCGGAAGAGTTTTATCGACTAAACATATCACAATCATTTGAATTTATACTTTACTTTTGTAGTTTACATAAACCACACAACTCACATATTTCAACTAGGTATCTTGCTTTATTATTATTTATTATGAATTTCTTAAATAAACAAACTTCAACAACATAAGGGCAGATCCTTTGAGCGCTGCTGATGACGCAGTGAAGTGACGCTCGAGTGATCAAGTATTCCAATGTATAAAAAAGCTTTCATTCAATTCCTCCGTCCTCATTTTTTTCCCTTGCAGCCTTCCCTCGCGTCCTACAGGGGGTGGAGCTGAGACGCGAGGAAAGGAAACGAGGATGCACAAATAAGAAATGAGAAGCACCCACTGATTCGAAGCGTGATTCAAAACACCCATGTCACGTGACTATGGCCAAACGAAGCCTCGAAGTGTTTCACTAAGTGTTTCATCAGGTGTGGTCCGCCGAATCAGCGTTTGATTGACACGGTCGGGAACAACAGACCACACAATCGCACATCTGTATAAAAGTGAAATCAACGCATATTGACCTCGTGGGTTTTTGTGAGAGGAGTTTGATTTTGAGATAGTGGATTTTTGGTGATATAGTGACAATTATAGTGCGATTTGTTTAGTTATATTTAGGCTTTTACATTTAAATTTACACAACACATTGACTGATAGGCTAGAGACACAGAGTATATAGTGACACATTAATAGATACATAGAAATACATTTAAATGTATTAATACATTAATAGATACATAGAAATAAATATATATAGACAGCTAGATTAATAGATAGATAGATACATATATAGATAGATTAAAGATAGGCTACATATCTAAATACATAGATAGATTATAGACACATAGATTATAGAAACATATCTAAATACATAGATAGATTATAGATACATAGATTATAGATACATATCTAAATACATACAGTAGATAGATTATAGATACATATTATATATACATATCTAAATACATAGATAGTGTCACGGTGTGGGTTCATGTATGATTTCTGTCTGTGTTTCCCTTGTCTTGAGTGAAATTTAGTTATTTCCTGTTCTGTGTCATGTTTTGTAGTCCTTTGTAGTTTTTCTAGTTTATTGGTATCCCCAGGTGTTTCTGATTGACCACGCCCTCTTGTTATCTTGTTTAGCTTGTTAGTCTCTGTATTTAAACCCTGTGTCTTGTTCCAGTGTTTGTGAGTTCTTAATATTGTAATGGTTGCTGTTTCCTTGTTCCTGGAGTTTCTTTGTTTTTCGTTTACCCTGGACTACCTCTTTGTTTTGTTAATAAATGTGCTTGCGATTGGATTCACTTTCCGCTTCATTCCTTCCGCAACGTGACAGATAGATTGTAGATGCATATATCTAATTACATAGATAGATAGATAGATTAGAGATACATATCTAGATAGATTTGGATAGATAGATAGATAAAATGGAGGCTCCCCAGAAGAGATGCCGTACATCTGTGGTGTGGGAGCATTTCCATTTAGAAACCCTAAATAAAGTGAGATGTGTGTATTGTGATCGGCAGCTCGCCTACTGCAACAATACATCATCCATGATGCGCCATTTGAGGAGCACTCATCCTGCCATTTTGCAGGGTGCAGAGGATGGCATTCCCCCTGTACCCAGGCCTGCTACTGACACTGCTGGGCCATCTAAGCAAGGTATGCATTGTTTGAAATATAATTATAATTACAAACTTTTGGGACCAATCACAACTGCCAATCATGTTAAAAATAGCTTCAATGTGAATATAGTATAATATAATATTGTGTGAATATACATTTTATAGATCTACATATGAGTACCCAATATACTGCCAGTGACGACATCATTTTGGTTTTCGTAATTGTTGTAGTTCTACATTACATTACATTTTTCTCTGCACACTGAGCATAAAAGTTCATAACCTAAATTTGTTTAGAAAGGTTTCCAAATAATGAACCAGTATGCTACTTTTAATAGCTGTGCACTATTTGAAGCTGTATTTTTTTCATGTATTTGTCTGAAAGTATGTTTTATCTTCTCTTTTAAAAGGCAGACAGAGGGAATTGGATGAGGCTCTTCTAAACATGGTGGTGAAGGATCTGCACCTTTCACCATCGTGGAGGATGAGGGATTCAGGGCCTTTGTGAAAAAGCTTGATCCAAGCTATGTCCTCCCATCCCGGAAGGTGCTTAAAGCAATGGTCAGCGAAAGGTACGACAAAGCCAAGGAGAAGACAATGGAGGACCTACAAAAGGCCGAATTTGTTAGCCTTACGGCTAACATGTGGTCCTCCATTAATATGGACGGATATCTTGGTGTGACTTGCCATTACATAACACCAGAGGCAAAAATGGCAATTGTTGTAAGGTGTAAGGAGGTTTTACCAAACCCACACAGCCCAGCATCTCATGGAGGCTAAAGCCTTGTTAATGGCTGAGGTCTTCCTGATGGTAGAAGTGTGAATAGGTTATGCTGGGGGTGGCTACTATCCTTAATGATGTTGTGGGCCCTCCTGTTGACCCTGATCTGGTAGATCTTCTCCAGCATTGTTAAGGCTCTTCCAATGATGGGTTCAGATATGTGAACACCAAGAAATTTGAATGTGCTCACTCTCTCAACCGCAGTCTCTCCAATATGCAGTGATGGGTGCTGCTTCCTCCTCCTCCGTGGGTCAACAATCATCTCTTTTGTTTTACTAACATTTAGGGAGAGATTGTTGTCCTGACACCATTTCACAAGGCCAGCCGCCTTCTGTGTGTATTGCTGTGCTGACGGCCTGTAGACCTGTTCGGTCTGTACGCGAACTGGCAAGGGTCCAGAGTGGATATATATACCTTTCCATAACAATTTGGCCCTTGTCAAAGTTTCTCAGATCTTTATTCCTGCCTATTTCTCCTGCATTCAACACATTGATTATGAGAACTGACTGTTTGCTTACCGTCTAATCTACTCAGACCTTAATATGTGGCCTTGTTAGGACATGATCAAACATTCGCTCTACCTGTGAATTGTCATGTTTTGGCGCATTTATCTTTGGATAAAAGTGTCTGCTAACTGCAGAAATGTAAAAGGCAGCAATGATATGCAACATGTCATCTAACACCCCTATTATATGTTCTCCAGCTCAGGTAACAAGTGGACAGATATTTACGACCCCGCCAGGAGGATTTCCATGTAAGACAATCATGCATGTTTGTGGAGAGAGGGACGCCAGTGTTATCAAGACCTTGGCGAAAGCAATAGTGGTTCAATGTGAACACGGCCGCTACCGGTCTGTGGCCATTCCTGCTATCTGTGCTGGTCAGTAGAATAATTTTTACTTGTAATCCAAAAAAAATTCCGATTTGTCTTTAAAGTCAGTTTTGGGGGTTTTTTTCTATTTGCTGGAAAAAAATACTTGCAGGACAAGGAGCTTTGGATGCAAAAGTGGTTGCCAAGTCTATTCTAGAGGGAGTAAAGGATGGTGTTCAAGGAGCTAATCTTCAATATCTCAGAACTATTCGGATCATTCTGCTGAAGATTAATGTTTTCCTGGAGTTTAAAGCGATGGCACAGCAAATCTTTGGTGGTAATACACAGTTGACAGGTGAGGCTAAATCTGTGCCATGCAGAGGCAATAACAGTTTTTATTATACATGTCCATGTCATGCATTTAAATAAATATATTTTAGTTTTTGTTAATGCTTTTACAGTGTTTTACAGTGAGACATTAATGATGTATTTTTGTAAGTCAACACAGGCATTAGTATCACCCTGGTTCCCTTGTCAATAAGCTATTAGGATTTTTCCATTTGGCTTTTGGATTATTTTAGAAAATAAGCTGTGACCAACAAACGAGTTAGAATAGTTTGCAAGAGCACAATTATAAACACAATGGGTCTCATTCATGAAACACGAGCAGAACGAATTTTTGTGTAAATCGTGTGTAAAGTGGTTCTGGCGTAAATTTTCGGATTCATTAAAATGTTCGTATTTTCCAAATGTTAGTTGGTACACAAGAAATCTACACCTGCTCCCAGCCACGCGTAAATAGTGCGCTTAACACCCGAACGTTTTGCTCATTAATAAGGCTGCATTTTAATTCACCTTAATCGGGTACATATTTGCACAGCATTTTGAAAAAATATTATATATAGTAATTACATACGTTTTTTCTTATTATGAGAGCCAGTATTAGCATCTGCGATGGTGGTCCTTCTCCAGTTTGAATACTATTTTTCCAAAGTGAGCTAATTCGTTTTTTGCTCTCAAGCTTAATGTCGAATCATTTTCTTCTCACTTCTGGGAATGTTCGATTAACAGATGAAACTCCATTAACTGCATCTGTAATATGCTGCCAAGCTTCCTTTTTTTTAAGGACCCGATATGCCACTATGTACGCTTGAAAATAAAATGTGGCGTTTTGAATGAACTTCTGATAATAAAACTTCAATTTCTGCATTTGACAATTTTTTTTTCATTCGCATTCATGTCATAATATGATGCCCATATATAGTTGTCAGTCGGATTTAATGGGCGGGATTTATGGTAATTGAGAATGAACGTGCACGCGCATCCCATTTACGACTGATTGGAATTCATTAACACACACACACATTTCACTATCACATCTGACGTTTACAAAGTATTTGTGAATCAGGAGAAGAGTTTTCGGGAATGTCTCTTTACGCGCAAATCACTCGCATATTTACTCGTATATTTACGAATGTTTCATGAATGAGACCCAATGAGGTTACAAAAGTGAAGTCAGCAGATGACTTAAGGTAAAAGCTTTTTTTTTTATAATTTTTATTATTGTATTACTGATGTATTTTATGTCATAGAATAAAGCGTGAAATTATCTTGAGCTTGACATTATTTCAGGCATTTCACCACAAACCCATTCAAAACAACATTGACTTCTGGACGATGGAACCGAAAGTGCTTAAATGCTAACTCGTTTCCTAGTTTTGGCCTACAAAAATACGTCATTCCTGCATCACTCTATTGACAATATTGCACTTTCACCTTTTTCAGCTCCTGCACCACTTGTACCAACAAACGTAACCTCCAGAGGGCGCAGTGGATCAACTATATCACGCAGATCACAATCACGCAGATCACAATCATTTTCTTTACAACACTCTCTTGACTTGAGTTCTCTAGTCAGTGCTTTGCCAGTCACAGAGAACACAGCAGCATTTCTAGTGATCGGTCACACAGATAATGAAGTGTGTGATGCCTGCAGAGAACTCCAGCGGGCGTATGAGAGCCAGTGCTCCACACACTCTTTCCACCCAGAGGAGATTGAACGTCTCACTCAGGATGAGATGAACCAGCTGCTCTCTAAAGTCGATTCCCTGCACCTGAAGCTGGAACAGAGCAGCTCTGGAGGATGGGAACTGAAAGGGCTGAAGGATGGAGTTAATGAGGTGGTTAGACTGATACAAGATGCACTTCGCAGACAGGTGAGTAAGACAACATTAAAATTAAATTAGCACTATAGACAATCGGTGAACTTGATTTCACCAGACATGTTCCTGGATCAAAATCTTTGTTTATCCTGGAACAACTTTCCAATCAACCAATCAGGTTTGAGGGACAAGTTTACAGTTTATGTCAAGTTTAGGCTTAGAACCAGGGTGAGGTGCTTCAACATCAGTGTTATTCACCTGTCATTTCCCTCTGATTTTAGGGAAAAGTTATGGGTAGGGGTAGGTTTAGGGGTAGGGATATGGTTAGACTAAATTTTGGGACAGGAATGTTATTCCAGGATCAACAAAATATGTTGATCCAGGAACATGTCTTACTTGGCAAAATCACGGTCATATAATGCATTCAATATAATTAAATGTAGTGCATGTATAATTTAAATATAATTTTGAGGAAATCGCTTGAGCATGACATAAATTTGTTCATTTTGAACAAAAAAGTTACATAGTGAACCTTTAATCAACCACAGGAACAAATGATAGTTGCAATAAAAATGTGTAACTTAAAACCATAGCTTTACAAATGAGCAAAGAAAATTGTTAATAAAATTAATGTGCCACTTTTTCTCTCAAACTGTAGGTAAGAGAGAAGGACCAAGCATCCCTCTTCACTCAAGTCACATGGTGCATTCTGGGACCACGGGGCGTTTGGCAGAAGGTGCCCCCAGAGGAGAATTATAAGCTTGAGAGAGAAGATGTGAAAGATGGAATTATTGATGCACAGGGTGTGAAATGGACTGTGGATTTGAGAAAGTTGGAGGCCACAGCATGTGGTTCAGGACACGTGACGTCTCTCAAACGACTGGAGAACCTTTTAGGTGAGGACACTTTCATGAAATATGAGCATATGAACTCAGATTAAAACCACTGATCGACATCTATAATATGAAATTAAACATCCTTGAAAATAATAACTGAATCAAAACCCTCAATATTTTGCATTTCAGATTTCTCTTTGCCCATCAACTGGGACAACATGAGTCACAGTGACCTGTTAAAGGTGATCGCTTTAGATCAGCAATCTATGGAGTACCAGACCGTGAAGGCAGACTTCAAGAAGACCGTCACAAAAACAGTGCTCAAGGTTTGACACTCAACAGCAAAGTGTGCTTTACATGACAAAAACCATCCTGAACGACATAAAAACAGCTTTTAAAGAACCACATAATGATATGTTAAATCCTATTTAAACATTCAAAAGTGCTGTATTTCTGAGTTAGTCTACAGCAAGGCCAGATT